TGAAGTTGTTACAACAAGCAAACGGAAAGGACATTCTTGGGGGGGAGGGGAGAGAGGGAGGAGGGAGGGAGGTGTCGGTGATGGGCCATAATAATCATATACATTGTATATTGACAAAAAAAAAATTTAACAAAAAAAAAAAAAAAAGAACCAAGAAAAAAAAAAAAGAAAAAAAAAAAGCAGTCACTTTGGGAAATCTTCAAGAACACAGCATGTGTCACATTTTGGCCAAAGGTCGAAATTCTCACTCAGCTGTACTATATGATCGTTGTCTTATGGAAGTTTGGTCAGCTTCATACATTTTTCTAGCACCTAAGCCAAAAGGCACCTTGTAGTGACCGTCTCCAGGATATAGTCCATCAAATTGACACTTTAAGTATAGATCATGTCTGGGGTCTAACACTACTTGACAATGCCCTTTTAAACAGAGAACACAAAGGGATGGGAAATAGCACTCCAGTCTGAGGGATTGATAGCACAATCAATGTTGAGATGACACCAGGCCATCATAAATGCTTAGACCCTGCAGCTCTTTTAAATTGAGAAGACATAAGTCCCCAAATGAAGACATAAGTCCCCAAACTATTGAATTTACTTTTCCTTGAAAAGAAAGAGCAGAAATGCCATAGGCATTTTATTTAAAGCCATAGTTTTGTTAAATTAGAAATTTTTGTACTAGTTAGTGTCCTTGAGATTTAATTTCATCATTTCCTTTTTATTCATTTTGTGTGATGAATTTAGTTAAGAATTATTATGAGTAGTTTAACCAGTTTGATTGTCTTTTGACTTGTAAAGGCTGAGCTAATCCCAGTGAAACTGAAAACATTACATAAGATTGAAAACAATATTCTAGTCCTTTTATATAAAAGTGGCAAGGTGTGGGTCTTATTTGGTCCATTTGAATTGGCCTATGACTTCTATTAGTTAGAAGTAATAGAAAAAACACCAAAAGAAGAGAAAGATGTGTATATACACAATGTATTTTCATATTATACACACAAATGCAATACTCTTCTTAAACTATGGAAAAGGTAGCTGGGATGTTAGATGTTTAGCCTTCATTTAAATAACTTCCTATGTAGTTGCTCAAGCTTTCCTTATATCTCTTTTGAAAGGGTGTTCACATGTGTTGATCAGGCCCTTCATAATCTATAATACAAATTTTTTTTGCAGCATTTTGAATCTCCTCATAGTTTTCTAAATGAAACAAAGCATAAGTTTTTCTGTTTAGGTTATCTAAAAAATATTGTGAATATTTGGCCTTTAAGTACAGATATTGATTTATGCTAGAAAATATGTGTTAGATAATAAAGAATATATTAAAAGTATAATGTAGAACTTCCATTTCCCAAACTCAATGAAAAGTTAGTAACCTTCTTATAATTTTTTTTTTTTTCTTAGAGACCTGGGTAATGTTCTATTCTGCATGTTAGGATTCCATGAGACACTTGCCAAAGGGCGTTTTACAATTGCTGTCTACCTGCTTCCATTTAGCATGAGAATTACAGCCTGAAATAACAAGGGTAAAGTCTACCATTAAGGTCGCTAACTTCTGACTACAGTGATCCATGTTACATTGCTTTTGAAAAATGTGGCATTTATTGGCCCTTCCTGTTCGTGAGCTACTTTGACATTTTCTCATATTCTCAGTGACTCCTGGACAGTGTGTCTGCAGTTAAGGTGAGCTGACACTAGATGGCACTCATAACATTCTTATCATCTTAGACTTGCCTCTCACCTTTTACCTGTGAAATTCAAGAATTCTTGGACAAACTGTAATCTGATACTTAGTGTCTCATCATAATTGATGGTATCCCTCTCTGATCAGTGAGATTACTGAGGGCAAAAACTCTGCCCTTATTCTGTTTCTTCCTGCACATACACATCTCACACACACAAGCACAGACTTTTATGAGAGGGGGGAAAAGAAGGAACATTTAAAAAGGATAGATGAAGATTTTTTTTTTTTCCTTTTTGTCTTTTTTTTGTGACCGGCAACGGATTGCAACCCTCAGTGTCGCGCCCGTACCGGACCGGGACCGGCAACGGGATCGCAACCCTCGGTGTTGCCCCCACACCTTGCTCAGCCAGTGAGCAGGAGCCGGTCTGTATGTGGGATCCGAACCCTCGGCGGGAGCACTGCCGCGCTTCCCAAGCGGCGCACTGTAGCAGTACGCCACCGGGCCGGCCCTAGATGAAGATTTGTTGCCCCCGCACCTTGCTCAGCCAGTGAGCAGGAACCGGTCTGTATGTGGGATCCGAACCCTCGGTGGGAGCGCTGCCGCGCTTCCCAAGCGGCGCACTGTAGCAGTATGCCACCGGGCCGGCCCTAGATGAAGATTTTTATCAAGAATGCATCCTTTGGGGCCGGCCCGGTGGCGCACTGCTACAGTGTACCACTTGGGAGTGTGGCGATGCTCCCGCCGAGGGTTCGGATCCCACATACAGACCGGTTCCCGCTCACTGGCTGAGCGAGGTGCAGGCGCAACACTGAGGGTTGCAATCCGTTGACAGACACGAAAAAAGACAAAAAAAAAAAAAAAAAAAAAAAGAATGCATCCTTTGTTATCAGGATATGCTTTATATAACTCAGGTGACCATTAAATGAAAATTCCATTTAGAATAAGATACAAAGGAAAGTCTTCACTCAATGAATTATTATTGATTCACACTGTTTCTATTGTTTCTAATTTCATTCTGTATAAATGCACTAGGTGAATTACTTATTGTGTTAAGCCTCAGTGCCCTCATCTTAAGTGGGGATGGCACGCAGCACTTATTGGATTGATCTGAGAATTACCTGATGAAACTTATCATGCACATCCCACTACGCTCACTCCTCGTCCTCTGGCCACTCTTAGGAGCAGCTATTGTCAGCTTTCTTTATGGCAGGCATTGTTCTCATCACTTTTATATAAATGCATTACTGCTTGCAACAATCCTATAATATGTGTCCTATTATTACAATTTATCATGCTAGGAAACTAAGTCACAGAGTGGTAGAATAATTTGTCCAAGGTCACACAGCTGGCACCACTCAGAGATGTTGTTATTAATCATTATTATTGTTGTTATCATTTGTAGTAGTAGTGAGGTTTGCAGCTTTTCCTTGGGGTCCTCCTGGGAATCAGCAAAGGGTTATTTTTCAAATGAAGGTAACTACATCTGATCTAATGAAAAGTCCTGACCTTTAACCAGTGCTGAGCAAGCAGATTTTGCTCAGTAGGATTCCTTCCAAACTAATTAGCCACATGCAGGGAGACTGTGTGCCTCTCTGCAGGCTTGCCCGCTCACCTCATGTTTCTTTCTGGTGCCCTCCCCTGTCTTCTCCTGTAGGCAGGAGACTCCTCAGGAACACCTAGAGACAGTCAATGCCTTTTTGCTTAGTTAAGGGACTCACAATGGTGATGCTGTTTATGAAAATCAGAAGCAAAGGAGTGTGCTCAGTGTGAACACGATGAATGTGAGGTACCAACTGGGTGGGCAGTGGGACAGGTCCAACAGGAGTTGCTTGGAGAGGGGCCAAGGCCTGGGACCTGGATCTTTGTGGATGTGAGCAGAGGAGGAAGGGATGGAAGCACATGCATGGATGCTGCTGAAGGAAAAGGTGGCAATGCACCGTGCCTCACTTGGTGCATGGCCCACAGAGGACGGCCAGTAAATTTCGGCGAACTACATGGGTGATAGAAGAGTTACTGCATGCATCCAGATTCTGTGCCTAGCACTGTGCAGCCATCATCTACTGAACATCAGCAACTGCCGTCATCATCCCTGTTTTACAGACCAGGCAGCCAGCACACTGAGTGGTGAAGTCCTGTGCCTGCAGGCACAAAGCTGTCCCAAATGTTGCCAAGGGTGGAGCCTCAGCAATCAGAGGCTCCCACGTTTCAGCCCATAACCACTGTGCTGTGCTGCTGTGGGGCTTAGTCTCTTTTGACTTTTATGTGTGGGACAAATCGTTCCTCTTCTTGTTCTCTGCCCAGTTGTTTACATTAGGAATTCTGTCTCCATTGCTCCATAAATCCTGCCCAGTCTCCAGGTGCAGCTCAGGGTCTTTGAGATCCTCAGCTGACTCCATATCCTTTTGTCTCGGCTCACACTCCTGCTTCTTCACTGTACACTTACTGATTTGGGGTCTAATCTTTGGATTTCAACAAACAGGTTGGACTTCTGCTTTCACCACTAACAAAATAGCAACTTCAAAAAATTAACTGCTTTAGTGCCATGGTATATCCTAGCCCATGGAGAACATACATTCAGTGGGGATTTTTACAGAAGAGATGAGCATCACAAGTTTATTGTCAGCTTCACCTCTGAATTTCTATGGTGCCAGTTCAGTGAGTCACAAACTTGCATTGACGTGGATACACTATGTTACTGCCTGTACCCTCCCTACCTACTGCTGTCTGTGGACCAGCCTCTGCCAGCGCACAAGGGTCCTGAGGGTCATGGTCAGGTTGCACTCATCTTTGCATCCTGTGGGCAGCCTATCTACCAGCTTGCCGAGAACTAGGTGGCCTTAGAGTTATGATTAAATGAATGCTTACATGAAATATGGGGTATGTTTGGTGTATGTGGTCATCATGATCTGGTACAGTAATAGAGGCAAAAAGAAAGAAATGCAATTTGGAAAAGAACATAAAATAATATGCAGCTCTTTTTCATTTTCAAAAAGGTGTTTTTGATGCTTTTGCAAGATTCCAAGAAAAAATCTCACCTTGCCCCGAGGACTGAGTTAGAGCTGCAGAACCACAGGCCTGCAGAACATCTTCCATCCTCCTGTAAGTATAGAGTGGTTTTTGCATTTCTGCTGGAGGATCAATACTGTCATCCCTTAATCAATGCCCCTGGTTTTGAAAGTTGAATACCAAAAGACCAAAGCTTGTGAGGAGCGTGAATGGAGAGTGAGGGGCCTAAGTGAATACAGGTCAGAGGCAGAAAGCTTGGAGTTTTATTCAGGCTTGAAAAGGAGAATGTGTGTTTATGGGACAAGTTTATCTTTCCTTCAGAATCTGACTTTTCTATAAAAAATTTCTTAGTATATTCAATTAGAATAATGAAAACTGTTCATTCTGTTCTTTCTTCACAAACAAACCAATCTCGCCTACATTCATGGTAAGCCTATTGTGTACAGGTACTTTGCTGGTGATAGGCTTACATGGCTTAAGAAATTACCAGATATGGGCCTTGTCTTCACAGAGGCTCTGTCCTTTGGGGACCACAGCATGGTCTAGGCTTGTATGCAGACCTCCCTGCCTAGGCATTACCGATTGGACAGAATCCAGCCATGGTTTCTAGGTGTGATTGCAGCTCAGATTCAGTCCAATTCCTAACACATCGATTAGCAGCAAATCACCAAGGGCTGGGCTCTCAGGACATGGAGGGTAATAAATCTCAAAACCTTCCTTTAGGGACCTTGGGGTATCAGGGACACAGACCCATGGCTGAATAATTATAATTAAATATATTGTAAAGTTTATAAATAGATGTTTGCCGAACTGCATTCTCACCAGCACTGTATGAGTGCTGCAATTGATCTACTTCCTCTTCAGCTTTTGGTATTATTAGAGTTTAAAAAAATATGTATTTCAGTTGTTAAAATAGGTGTATAATGGTTCCTCATTGTGGTTTTAATTTGCATTTCTCTAATGATTATGCTGAGCATATCTTCTTTTTCTTTCCTACAGCTTTATTGAGATGTAATTCATACACTGCACGATTTACTCATTTAAAGTGTACTGTTCAATGGCTCTGAGGTTACTTGGAGCTGTGCATTCATCACCACACTCAATCTTAGATCATCCCATGACTCCAAAAAGAAGCCCTGTGTCACTTTGCCATCCCTCTTCAATACGCTCATCTCTTCCAGCCATAGGCAAGCTTACATACTTCCCGTCTCTATAGATTTGCCTATTCTGGACATTCTATATAAATGGAATCATAACATAGTGGTCCTTTGTAACTATCTTCTTTCACTCAGCATAATGTTTTCGAAGTTTATCCATATTGTAGCGTGTATCAATACATCATTTCTTCTGATTGCCAGATAATATTCCGTTGTGTGGATGTACCACACTGTTTGACCATTCATCAGTTGATGGGCATTTGGGTTGTTTCCAGTTTTTTGCTATAATGAATATGCTGCTATGAACATTTATGTGGATGTATGTTTTCTCTTATGTATACCGTACACACCCATTAAACAACAACTCCCCATTCCTCCCTCTCCCCAGCCCCTGGCAACCACCATTCTACTTTCTGTCTCTATGAACTTGATTACTCTAGGTATGTCATGTAAGTGGAATCATACAGTATTTGTCTTTTTGTGTCTGGGTTATTTCACTCAGCATAATGTCCTCAAAGCTCATCCATTTTGCAGCATGTGTCAGAATTTCCTTTCTTTTTAAGGCTGAATAACATTTGATTGTGGGTATCTACCACATATTGTTTATCCGTTCATCCGCTGATGGACACTTGGGTTGCTTCCACTTTTTGACTATTGTGAATAATGCTGCAAAGAGCATGGGTGCTGTATATTGAATGTCCTCCCAAACTCATTGAAGCTTGACCCCCACTGTGACAGTGTTAGAGGGTGGGGAATCCTATTATGGTAATTAAAAGGCGGGACCTTGAAGAAATGATTAAATTGTGAGGACCTTGCCCTAGTGAATAGATTAATCCATGGATGTTTTAATGGTGGTCATTGGAGTGATTCTGATGGCTTTAAAAGTAGAGCACATGAGAAGCTTTCTCTCTCTGCTCAAGCCATCGGCCCTGTGATACCCTGCAGTGCTGAACAGAGTCACCCCAAACAAGCTCAAACCAAATGTGTTCCCTGGACTTTGGACTTCTCCAGCCTCCAAAACTGTGAGCAATAACTATTACATCTTCATAAATTACCTAGTTTCATGTATTCAGTTATAAGCAGCAGAGATGGACTAATACAAAGAGTATGCAAGTATTTGCTTAAGCCCCTGCTTTCACTTCTTTGGGGCATATAATGAGACTACAATTACTGGATCATATTGTGTGTTTAGTTTTTTGAGGAATTCCCATACAATTTTCCACAGTGGTTGCACCATTTTGCATTCCTACCAGCATAAACAAGGGTTCCAATTTCTCTACATCTGCACTAACACTTGTTAATTTTCTATTTTTTTTTCTTTTTTTGGTTAAGTAATGTTGAGCATCTTTTCATGTGCTTATTGGCTATTAGTATATCTTTGGAGAAATGTCTATTCAAGTGCCTTGTTCCTTTTTGAATGGGGTTGGTTTTTTGTTTGTGTTTGTCATTGAGCTGTATAATTCTTTATATTTTCTATATATCAATCCCATATTAGCTATACAATTTGTGAATATTTTTCCCATGCCATAGATTGCCTTTTTACTGTTTTGGTTGTGTTCTTTCATGCACAGAAGTTTTAATTTTGATGATGTTCAACTTACCTATTGTCTCTTTTGTTGCCTATGCTTATGGTGTCATATCCCCCAAATTACCGCCAACTGCAGTGTTATGAAACTTTACCCCTAAGAATTTACTTCTAAGAATTTTGTAGTTTTAGCTCTTACATTTAGGTGTTTGATCCATTCGAGTTTAATTTTTGTATATGGTGTTTGTTAAGGGTCCAATTTTATTCTTTTACACATGTATATCCAGTTTTTCCAACATCATTTATTGAAATGACTGTCTTTTTTCCACTGAATAATTTTGGCACCCTTGATAAAAATCAACTGACCATATATGTGAAGATTTATGTCTGGCCTCTCTATTCTAGTACACTGGTTTATATGTTTGTCGTTATACCAGTGTCTCACTATTTTGGTTACTATGGCTTTGTAGAAAGTATTAAAACCAGAGAAAGTGTGAATCCTCCAACTTTGTTTCTCTTTTTCAAGATTGTTCTGGCTATTCAGGGTTCCTTGATATTCCATATGAGTTTTAGGTTGGATATTTCTATTTTTGCAATAAATGTCATTGAAAACTTGTTAGACTACATTGATTAATTTAGATAGCTTTGGGTAGCATTGGTATTTTAAAAATATTGTCTCCCATCCCATAAACATAGGATAGTTTTTCACTTATTTTGTCATCTTTCATTTCTTTCAGCAACATTTTGTAGTTTTTAATGTACAAGTTATTTGCCTACATGATTAAGTTTATTCCTAAGTATTTTATTCTTTTTGATGCTATTGTAAATGTAATAATTTTCTAATTTTTTTTTCAGATTTTTCATTGTTAGTGGATACATATGCAGCTGATTTTTGTGTATTGATTTTGTATCCTGAAACTTTGTTGAATTTATTAGTCCTAACAGTTTGTGTGTGTTCTTTAGAGTTTTCTATAATATGATTATTATCACCTATAAAGAGAGATAATTTTACTTCATCCTTTCCAATTTGGATGTCTTTTATTTCTTTTTCTTTTCTGATTACTCTGGCTATGACTTCCAGTACTATCTTGAATAGAAGTGATGAAAGTTCACATCCTTGTCTCATTTCTGATCTTAGAGAAAGCATTTTCAGTCTTTCAATATTGAGTACAATGTTGGTTGTGGATTTTTCATAGATGGTCTTTATTAGCTTGAGGAAGTTTTCTTCTACTCCTAGTTTGTTGAGTGTTTTTATCATGAAATGGTGCTGAGTTTTGTCAGATGCTTTCTCTGCATTGATCGAGATGACTATAAGGTTTTTTTCCACGCTTAATGTGGAGTCTTACATTTATTTTTTCCCCCATATGTTGAACCAACCTTGCATTTCAGAAACAAACCCTCCTTGGTCATGTTGTACAATCCTGTCACTATACTGTTGAATTTGGTTTGCTAGTATTTTGTTGAGGGCTTTTGCATCAGTATTCATAAGGGATATTGGCGTGTAATTTTCTTTTCTTGTAGTTTGGCTGCTTAACTCATTCTGTGAGGATATTGGCGTGTAATTTTCTTTTCTTGTAGTTTGGCTGCTTAACTCATTCTGTGAGGCAATGCTGGCCTCAGAATAAGTTAGAAAGTTTGTCCTCCTCTTCAGTGTTTTTAGAAGAATTAGAGGAAGATTGTTGTTAATTATTTTTTAAATGTTTGGTAGATTACCAGTGAAGTCATTTGGTCCTGGGCTTTTTGTTGTTGTTGTTGTTGGGAGGGTTTTGATTATTGATTGAGTTTTATTACTAATTATAGATCTATTCAGATTTTCTGTTTCTTCATGATTTAATCTTGGAAGGTTATATGTTTTAAGAATTTGTTCATTTCTTCTAGGTTATTAAATTAGTTGGTTTACATTGTAAATAGTAATATCATAATCCTCTTTATTTCTGCAAGATTGATAAGAACATCCCCTCTTACATTTCTGATTTTAACTATTTGAGACTTCTCTCTTGTTTTCCTAGTTAATCTAGCTAAAGTTTTGTCAATTTTGTTGATCTTTTTGAAGAACTGACTCTCAGTTTTATTAATTATAAAATTTTTAAAATTTTCAATTTTATTTATCTCTCCTTTAGTCTTTATTATTTGTGTTAACATTAGGTTTAGTTTTTTCTTCTTTTTCTAGTTTTTAAGGTTTAAAGTTAGGTCGTTTATTTGAGACCTTTCTTTTGTTTAATGTAAACATTTACAGCTATAAATTTTCCTCTTAGCTCTGCTTCCTCTGTACCCCATAAATTTGGTATATTGTGTTTTTATTTTCATTGTCTCAAGATATTTTCTAGGTTTTCTTGTGATTTATTCTCTGCTTCATTTGTTATTTTGACTGCATTTTCAATTTCCACATATTTGTGAAATTTCCCAGTCTT